AAAAGTTTGTAACAACTTAACAAAAAAAAATTCAATCCACAATATAACCAACATTGTACATCGGAAGGAATAATGCAGAAACTACACAGAGTTAAATAACATATATTCAAAACTTCAAAATCAATTACGGGGCTATATACAGTAGTAACCTTAGAAGAAGTCAAAGGAAAGAAAGAAATGAACATGACAATGGGTGAAGATTATCAAAATCATCAAAAGAATCTGACCAAATATTAAGCATTGTTTTGAATTAGGACTTTTTTAATAATTTAAAACATAGAAATTTACAAACACATAACAAATGAATGATGAGAAATCATTCATTCCGCCATTCAATTCTATGATTTTAATATGGTGAATGATTATATTTAACTGGATGTGGATTATGATCAAATTAGGAAGAGTATATGAATTTAACAATAAACATTTCAAAAGTTCTAACATCGCCAAAAAAAGGTAATTTATATGTGCATGTAATGTTTTATTATAAAATAATATCAATAAAGCAAAACGATCAATAATAAATAACATTGATTTAATTAACATTTATCTAATACTTGAAAAACTTCCAATTCATCAAAAATACTATTATTTACTACGCCGATGCTATAATAAGCTGTTTGTGCGCTACGAATAGTACCATGTGGATGAAACCAAAAATTATTACCAGGACCAAAAACTGGTAAATGAGAAGGATTACACCAAACTGCTTGAACAGAACAATTATCGATAACGTAGCTAAGCTGTGCAGTATTAATGTCATTTTCATCACTGATATTAAAAATAAAGCTTTCACTTGTTTCTTTAAACAAATTACATCCATTCCAACTGAGTGGATTATAACCACCAACTAATTGTTTCGAATCTCGTATTTTAGCAACAACAAGAGTTTTGTAGACATCATTGCACTTTTGATGAAATATGGCAGAACTTAAACCATCTCTACTACTGTGATATAAAAGTTTGCACTTATATTTGACATCCCCTAATAAAGTATACGGTGGGTTTTTTTTATCAATCCAACTCGCAAAAGCCAATGTAAGTTTTTCGTTAATAAATAATGAATTTCTTGATGGTAATAGATTTGAAACTAATTGTTTATCAGGAACCATATAATAATTTGAAATATCTTGCCATAAAACGCTAGGAAAAAGCATTTGATATTGCATGATGTTGACAACGAAATCCTTGTAAGAAATATCCTGAAATCTAATTAAAGGAATAATGTCTTCCAGCACATGCTTTAACTCCTTAATATCACTTTCTTTCCAAACAAAGATATTTTTTTCTTCCAAATTTCCAATTTGCCTAATTCCCCATTGGATGACACAATTCCAAATATAAGTTTCTTTTAATTCTAATTCGTTTCTTTTTAAAATGGATATAAGCATTGGCTTCTCGATATCTCTGAAATCAATAGATTTTAAGAATAATTCTGGTTCCCTATCAAATAAATTTTCAAAATAATCTTGGAGCAATCTAAATGATTGACAATTTGACGAAATTTGATAAAGATAATTTAAATTTTGCTTAATCCATTGTTTTTCTTTTTCGTTTTCAATCAAGTAGTTTTGCAAATCATCAAGGAATTCATCAAAATTTAGTTCATCACAAGCCACAAGGAGTTCAACAATCTCATGAGGATCCAAAATATTTATATCAATAACACCATTATAAATATATCTTTAAAAATAAGAACAGAAAAAATTATGCTTTATTATTATCATAGTCAATTAATTATCAATTTGTATTAAAAAATTAATCTTACATTAAAAGAACTTCAAACACTTTAGGAGATATGTTATCTTTTTCAAATAAAATAATGCCTTCTGTGGACCTGTTGACCCAATTTTTTGATAAAGCCGCATTAAAGTATGAAGATCTAGCTTTTAAAATGTTTGAATGAGCCTTAAAAATTCTAACATCATCATCTTCTGCTCCAATTTTAATTTCTACATCATAAAAGTCTGATTCATTCATCAATTTTGTTAAATCATTCACAAGTTTACAAACATGTTTTAATGGTGAAGCATCTATGTTGGAATTAATGAGTATGTTGATTAATTCTGTGATGCTTTCTAACGATGGAAAATTATTGGACATCTTTGAAAAGTAATAATTGTTTTTGTTTTTTTAGATTTCCACGCGATCAAGTTATAATAATGATTGGAACCAGGGTTGGTCCACTGGTGTAACGTCTTAACCATATTCAGTACTTTATCAGTGACATGGATGGCTAACCCTGATTAGGACAGCATGACGTAATTTATTTTAGTAGCACAGAGCAGCAGCAAGCATGGGTAAGGACACTCGAGCAATAGAAGTATTATAATTTTGAAAATAGAAAATGAAATTCTATTTGAAAATAATTTTTTTATAATAAGAAACATGTGCGAGAAAATATGCAGAACAATGAATGATGCCTATCCAACAAAATTCAATTCATTCGATAGAAGCACAACACATAAACAAATGGATTCTAAATATATAAATAAAAAAATTTTTTTTTTCACAAACATTGTATCATTGTATGTAATATTTGTGACATTATATAAATAAAATTTCATTCTCGGCCTTGAATTGTAAATATGGAAAAAACCTTGTGATTACTAAAGACCGGCTTTTTAGAAAAAATTGAATTAAATGAATGAATTAGATTATTATTATTATTATGCCCGTATAGAAAATTCTAGGGTAGGTTTCATTTTATTTATGTTGGAAGATCATTTCCAAATATAGATGGTTTTCATAGAGACTTTTTGAAATGAATCGAATAGCATTATTATGTTCATTCATAATATCAATATTGCCGAAACAGGAAAATAATTCCGGTTAACATCTATGGCGAGGAGAAATGTTCTCATCTAATTCTTTCTTTTGATATTTACGCTCTATTGTGGTCCCATGTATGAATTCATATTTTATTCATTATGGAAACTAATTTGATTCTAAACTCTTTTCACTCGAAAAGTCATTTCCTATTTATGCGTACAGACTTTTTATGGATCAAGTTAACTAATGCGACCGGTAGTGGGTTCCAGAAGCAGCAATGCGTTTTCGCATTCCAGCAACGAATACTGATTATAGATTGTAATAGTACATGTATATAAACAAATATCCAACTTTACATTATTCAAACTTTTGGTAGGACGCTGTTTTTATATGATTGCTTCAAATCTTGCAAACTATCATCTATTTATTGTAAAAATATCCAATCACTGGCATTTGTGATTTTTAAATTTGCATAAACGCATAAATTTATATGTTAACATCCAATGCCATTGATATGTGACCTCAAAGATATCATCTGCCTAAAACCAATAAAAAGCACTGAAAACTAACTAAAGATGAACTGCAATCCTAATTGATTGTCTCTCTTCCTTTCTAGGTTCCTCGTGATTTTGTGCTAATGTCCTTTTTATTGATCACGATTTTTTCTTTTTTCTTTCGTTAGTACCAGCTAATTTAAAAACACAATGAGCCAATTGCTAAAAAATATTTTTGATGATATTGTTCCATGGTAGATTTTGTATTAACTATATATTTTTATATAGTAATAGACTCTAGATATATTCTAAACCAATGACAATAATAAAAGCAAAAAGAGAAGCGGTATTGCTGGACTAGCGATTATTTCTTAACTTGCAATAAAAAGGCCTTTATATTCACGTGTTATTATTTTTTTATATGATTGAGAGAAAAGAAGTTTTATTAACGAAAAAAAAAAAAAAAAAGAAAGAAAAATCATGATAAAGTGGATGAATGGATGGATGAATGTGGGATATGAAAATTTTTTATAGAAAATACATGTTTAAATTAGCAGAAAAAATGATATTAGAGGTATCTTCTTTGAAGATATAGAAACTCCAAGGACTATTGCCATAAAGTTCGAGAATTAGGAGCGGAAGTTCCTTTAAATTTATAAAAGCAACCAATCAGCGATCAGGAAATAATATTGCCAAGCAATCGAATTGGGAAATCAGAGCCAAAAAGTAAGATCTCTTTGTGTCTTTTATGTTAGTATTAGTACTAGTATTAGCTATTACTACTATGCCCAATTTAGATTTCCCCTTAGAACGTTTCATGGATTTTTTGAATTTTAATTCAAGAGTATTAAATTTAACAATATAATTTTTTTTCCTTTTTTTACAATTAAAGTTTAAACGTAAGATTAACAATTATTGCTATTATTATATTATTACTATTATCATTATTATATTATTGCAAGTGGAGCGTACCACGTTACACACTAGTAAATTTCTACAGATAAGTCAAATTATTATTGTGTATATAATATTATAGCTCGGATGATTTTTTCGCTTTTAACGACAAATTAAGTAATATAATTTAAAAATCGATAAATACGTTTTTTCCTAATACTAATACTAATACTAATACTATTTAGAATGAATATAATGATTTTTGTAAAGCATTTGTTTTAAACCTTAAAAAACTTAACAATCATGCTCGACAAATAGTTCGTTGTCGATACGAATTTTTTTTTCATAGTAAATTATGGAACCGAGGGGGTTTGTGCTTTGATCAATTATTATTCTTTAAACTTTATTCAAAAGGTTTTTTTTTAGTACGGTTACACATCCGTATCTGCATCTATGTTTATTTATTATTATTATTATAAACTTTTTTTATAAATAACACCATCCATCATCCATCATTTCTCTTAAAAAAATATTTTAAATTATTTTGAAAAAATAAAAGAGGCAAAATAATCAATCAATTATTATATATTATATTATATATTATATTATATTGTATATATATAAAATATATATATAATAAACTACCTTCTTTCTTATTATACATTCGCACATTTATTTAAATATTTTTTTCTTTTAATATTAGCTTTTGATAAGTTAAATAAAAGAAAAAATATATAAATATTTTCATAAATTCACATCCACCTTTTTCTTACTTCCAAAATTCAATAAAGTAAATTTTTGCCTCTTCTTTATATACCAATCAATCATTCATTAATTAAAATGTCTTCATCCTTTAATTTATTATTTTTGGTGTTCGTTTTCACCTTTATGATTGGTAATTATCTTTCGTTAACTAATTAATAGATTAATTTAATTTGTGTATAAATTAATAATCTAACCATTCTCTCCTTCCTTTCTTTCTTTCTTTCTTTTTTTTTTTTTTTCTAAATAATAGCTTTAGCAAAACCTACACCAATTAAAGATGTCCCATCATTCACAGGATCATCGTCTGTTGATTCCAAAGAAGAAATTTCAACAACTTTTGAAACAAATGAAAGATTTATTATTCCTTTTAAACGTGTGATAGACGAAGTATCAGGCGAGGAAATTGATGATGATGCTATGAGATTCGAAAGCGCTTCTGCCATTATAATAAATTTAAAAATAGAAAATAACGAATTAATAATAAATGGTTTACCAATAAAATTAGGAACAACTTCAGTTCAGGTAAATGATTTTTTTGAATAATTTATAAAAATATATTTATTTATCAAGAAATATTTATTAATAATCTTTATCATTTTTTTTAATTGCAGGTGGTTGAAGCAAAAGTTGTTCCGGTTGATATTAATGACAATGAAATTGATGATTACTTGGATAATTATGATGAAGCTCTCGTAACTGTTAAAATAGATTCTTCTATAGATTCAGTTCAAGCTATAGACAATTTGGTAATTAATCGTATAATGACATCTATAACTGCTATGGAAGTGGACGGCGTACATGTTGTACAAATAAAAGTAATCGAAAAAATATTGGAAATAGAACCCACCCCCTCCAACGAATCTAGCAACAATCATCAACTCATCAAGCAATATCGTCATCGTTATCGTTCACCTTGTAAAAGTAGATTTGCTCAATTAAAAGGTCGTCTACATCACTGGTGGCGTTGTTCTTCAAGATACACAAGAATTTTATTGACCTCGTTCTTGCTCACTTTTATATTCTCTATATTCTTTATAATTTCTCATTCAATATCAAAACAAAAATATCTCACAGCCAATGCTTATAAACATCCCATACCAAATTATTTCCACGATGATAAGGAAAATACTAAATCTTTTGAAAGAGTTATTTTCATAGCTGACGAAGAAAAAAAAGCCCTCATGGAAGAGTATAAATAAATATGATAATTATTAATATGTATCATAATTAATAATATTTAAAAAAAAATTTTTTAGATATTTAAATAAAATAATAAATTATAGATATCTTCATTAAAATTCACTTTTACATTGTTTCATATTTCCGACATATAAATTTACATTACTACAACACACACACGCATGTATAAACCTTTTTCTACCCTTTTTTTTTTTATTATTGTTACTCATTTTTTAATATATATATATATATATTGTAAAACTAAATTTTTTATCAATAATAATAATAAAAAACCATAATCTTTTTTTATTTCATAAACTCTATCCTTCCTTATATCAAGAATGAATAATGATAAGGAGTTTATAGGTGTGGTATTCAAAAGTAAAAAAAACCACCAACATTCAATTCGGTTTTAAAAGGGAATCAATTCATGGCCTCAGTATATTAGTATGCAATAATAATTTTCAAATTGCATGATCAAATTTGATAACGATTTTCTTTTGATGCAATATGTTCGTTTAAAACGTAATAAGTAAAAATTTCATTTAAATAATACAAATAAGCCAAATAAGTCAGATATACGTTGATAAAAAATTTTCTATAAAAGAATTTATTAATTTACTCGATTTCAATTTTTCAAATGTATCAAAAATGTTAATTTTTAGTTTAAGAAAAATTGGCCGATAAGTTTTGAAGCTTGAGTCATCAACAATAAAACTTATCGGTTAACGATATAAAAATTATTTTGTGTTACTAACAAGGTTCATAGTAATAATAATAGCATAGCGGAAGTCTGAATTTGACACAAATATTTATATTAACAAGTTTTTTAGAGTAAGACAATGTGAGCTTTTTGTTGCCTCTCCAATAAATAACATAACTTACTTTTCCGATAAAACATAAGACTGTGATAATTGATGTCATTTTTTAAAATTAAAAAAAATGATTATGAATAGTGTGTATGC